TTTTAGTTGTTGAAAAACTCTATTATAAAGTTGGTTAATTGTATTTGTAGTAAAAGAATTGATGGGACAAAGGGTATATTTGTAAATGAATAATGCCATAAAAAACTTTAAGTTTTGCCGAAAATACTAGTTTTACCATTCGACAGATTTTTGGTTTTTTTAACGCCACAAACTTGCTAATTTTGTCAGTTTTGTCATTTTTACCTTGAATAGTTGAATAACAGGTTACCATGAAATATTATTTTCGGAAAAGTTAACAAATATTTTGCAAAAAAAAAAAAAAAAAAAAAAAAAAAAAACCTTAGGATTTTAAACATATAAAATATAAACATTTATTCAAAATTTATAAAACCAAATAGTTTTTTAAATTTTTAATAGCAAACCAATATAAATTTTACCATACGAAAGTAAAATTGAAACATATTTTTATTTTTAAGTATGGTAATTTTATTTTGATTCAATATAAACTTTTGATATTTAAATTTAAAAAAAAATATATTTAGCTTTATCAAGTTTTGAATATATTCCTTAATTAATACTTATACTTTTCAAAGCAAAATTAAAAAATATTTGTTAGTTAATATATTTGTATAATAACTTAGAAAATATATATATATATATATATATATATATATATATATATATATATATATATATATATATATATTTATGTTTAAAAGGTTTATGTTTATGTTTCAAAAATAATAACTTATACAACCATATTTATTTTTATGAAAAAATATATGATATATTAATATTTATGAAACACAAACATTTTAAAGATATAAGATACTTTTATTTTCCTTTAAAGATAAGTGCATGGAAATAATGTCACCACATAGTGATTATGATCACCTTCAGAATTGTTCTATGAGCCACTAATATATACAACGAATCCAAAAAACCCATGTAAATCACGTATAAGAATAAAATTATATAAGTCTATATCACTAAGCTTTGTACTTACAATTTCATTTTTATATTTCAAGTACTTCAAATGATTAGGAAAACAAATGTGTGATTGTACACATCCTTCTGGTTTTATGAATTTGAATTTTGGGGACACTATGATTATTGAATAACACTTTTGAAACAATAGTTTTGTAAACATTTATGGTTATTGGGATGCTTTTGAAAATTTTAAACTTACTCTAATTTTTTGGATGTTACATCATGATTGAACATAAGTTTGCGAAGAGGTTTCTTAGCTGCCCTTGAACAAGTTTTGAACCTTAAGACGATAGGCTTTGAAGACGTGGTTGGTTGCTCAAAAGCTTATAAAGAAATAATCAAGGGAGAAGGCAAAGTAATCGAGAAATAGAATAAATTACTTTATTCCAAAACTGAATCATCCAACAGATACATCGAATCATCAAGAGGTAAAGGCCAGGGTTCAAATAACTGAGGAATAGGACATGGTAGTGGACGTGGCAGTGGATGCGGTCGGGGTAACATACAATCTCACGGTCACTCGGAATCCTCTAAAAATTGTGAAGACCAAAAACAAAAAGGAAAACAACACGAGTAAAGAATCTCTCAAATATTTAATGTTACCAGTGTAACAACTATGATCACTTTACTTCAAGATGTCCGGACTGAATAAAAAATCATGAGGCTAACCTTAATCAAACACACGAAGGAGATATAAATCATGAAGAAGGGACGTTATTTATGATGGATACAATTCAAGAAACTATATTCTTGAACGAAGACAAATATATCCTTCCAAAAGTTGAAGCAAATGTCGATGAAGACGCAATTTTGGTATTTAGACAACGGTGCAAGCGACCACGTGAACAAAAACTACTCTTACTTTTCTGAATTAAATAAAAACATAACATGTAGAGTGAGGTTTAGAGATAGATCGTGTGTTAGCATTAAAGGAAAAGGGTCGATTTTGTTCAAAGGAAAAAAACAGTGAGAAAACATTAATGAAGGATATTTATTATATCCCATCACTTCGTAGCAATGTTATTAGCTTCGGGTAACCTACAATAGCCGGTTGTGATATTCGTATGCGAGTTGATATCCTAACCATGCAAGATGGAGACGGAAGATTGCTTATGAAAGTCCTGAGAAGTGCAAACCGAATTTACAAAATTTAGTTAAAAGTTGGTAAAGCACATTACTTGCAAGCCAAGACATTGATTGAAAAACGAACCGGTAAAGAGATCAAGACTTTCCATACGGATAGAGATGGAGAATTCACATTGACTTAGTTGAACCGTTTTTGGGACGAAGAATGGATTTCATGTATGTTGACGGCTCCTTATGCACCTCAACAAAACGATATAGTCGAACGGAGAAATCAGACTCTAATCCAGTGGTGGATCCAGAACAAAAGTTCAAGGGTAGCACAACCATTTTACTGCGTAATATACAATATGATCTTTTTCAGGTTTGGGTTTTTCAGGTTCAGGTTAAACGAGTTTGGAAATTCGAAACTTTAACAGAAACGATATGTGCTACTGTCAAAGTACATGTTAATGTCAATGGAAACCTAATTTCAAGTTATATGCAATGGAAACCTAATTTCAAGTATTAAACATGAAGTTTGTAATTATAATTTTCTAAAAACCAATGCAGTTGAAACCTAAGTAAGTGTTAATTTTAATGGAATCCTAGTAAAGTAGTCATGTAACGACCCAATTTTCACGTCTAAAAATTTTGTTTTTAAAACATTACTTTAGGAAACATTAGTAATTAAAACATTGTTCAGTTAAACCATTTCACATTCACAAAGATAAATGGTCAACATATCAGAGTATCAATCCCAGGTAAAACACATAAATGCGGAAACAAGGGTGTGTGTGACATGCTGCTACCGCACTGGCTCCTTCCCCTTGGCTAAAGAGGTACCTGAAACAACAACTAAAAAACGTAAGCACAAAGCTTAGTGAGTTCCCCCATTGTACCACATACCACATAATCACATAACATACATAAATTGTCAGGCATATTTGGGTGCCCGACCTACCCCTTCGGTCCTCTCGACCGGATACTACCTAGCATATCTGGGTGTTGGCCTCCCCTTCGATCCTCTCGACCGGATACTGCCTAGCATATCTGGGTGCTGGCCTCCCCTTCGGTCCTCTCGACCGGATACTGAGGAAACTATGTCCCCCTCTACCACTACCACATGACATGTAACACAATATCATAATCTATCTAACATGGCTGGGTATGACTACCCTTTCGGCCCTATCGACCGGATATCTTGGGGACTATCTCCCCCTACTGGCACTAGTACGTAAATGCAACACAGATAGTAGTAATCCTTTAGATGAATATCACAAAGACAATCATCTCCATACAACTCCTACTGGTGGGCCGACATTGTGGCCGTAGACCCACCGCTACTGGAAGGTAACTCACCTCGAAGTAGCTGCTGATCTGATCGGGAACTGATTGCCTACTGATGCTGCCGCTGCTCCGGAAATCCTCCGGCTGCAATTCCCACAACATACTCAATCAAAAACTGCTAACTGTCCTTTGGGTAAAATGACCATTTTACCCCTGATCATGTCTTAAAACCAAGTCAGAGTCAACTTTCAGTTGACTCGACTCGCCGAGTTGGCTTGCCGACTCACCGAGTCCTTAGCAAATCGTCTTACCTGAATCCCGACCCTACTCGTCGAGTTGGGCTCTAACTCGACGAGGTCTCCTTATAGACTTGAGATTCAAGTCCTTCATCCTACTCGCCGAGTTGTATAAACAACTCGCCGAGTTCATCTTCATCCGATGAACACTACCATGGGTGAGTTCAGCTTCCAACTCACCGAATCACACTCTGTGACTCACTGCTCAAACTCGATACAGCAAAAAGGGGACAACTCGGAGACTCGCGAGCAGACTCGCCGAGTCATATAAATGACTCGCCGAGTCGTTGCCATGCACTCATAAAATACACAGATTTGCTCGATTCCAGTCCATGCCATTCACAGATCTGGACTCCTAGGACACGAATCACATGTAAAGTTTCCAACTTTACGTGTAGATACTTACCAATATGGTTTTTAGGGTTCCAAATGCACTCAAAATGGTAGATCTTGGGTAAACAAGCAACATGGGTCCATAAAGCTAACAGATCTGAGCTCCTGGAGCTTAATCTTGTCCAGATCTAGAGGCCAATCAACTTATTACGAACTCTCAAGCATACACAATCTAGGAAACGGCTCAAAAGGACTTTAATGGAGCTATAAGGGACAATAAGCTTAAAAACAGAGGGGAAACGAGCTATACCTTAGGGGAAACGTTGGAATGACACAGAGATGCTTGGCCTCCTTCTCCTCTTCTTGATTCCCTCTTCTTTTCCCTCAAAAACTTCAAGAGTACCACAAAGACACCTCAAACTCACAAGGAAACACGGCTAGAGAAAGACACAGTGCTCTGAGAGTGAATGGGGACAGAGTTGGGGCGGATATGCTGTTTAAATAGGGTGCAAACCCATGAAACTTAGGGTTTCATCCAATAACGGTGACTCGCCGAGTCCAGGATATGGACTCGCCGAGTCGCCAACTTAAACATGTCCCGGGTCCCGTCCCTACTCGGCGAGTCGGACCTATGACTCGCCGAGTCCAAGGCTAAAAATGGAAAATACTTAAATAAGATTTACATACCAGGAACCAGGTGCTACAAGTCAAGTACAAAACTACTTTCTAACTTCAAAGAAAAAAATTGGAAACTTACTTGTTTCAAGATTTGGATTTTGGAGGTTGGGATCTCTAAACATCCAACGATTTTTTCTGTGTACCCTTTGTTCTTCCGTAACATGCTTATAGTGAATTCGTCTTCTTCTAGGGTAGCAATGATTTTATATTTTTGTTCATTGATTTGTGTCATGATTTACATCAGTCCTCCAGCTCCTTCAATTTCAATGACATGTTTTGCCAGCCCATATAATTCACAATTGGGCTCCTAGACTTTTGGATTTTGGAGTTTAAACATTAGGATAAACACACTAAGGGATATCACACAATTCTCCAGCAACTTAAAATAAAATGAAAAAAAGTACTAATTGGGATCTTTTGAGGGGTAGCCTGTGCTACCCCAGGCTCCAACATAGCTCCACCAATACTCTAATTGAGATGGCATGTTGCCTAATAAAGGCGAAAGATATTTCAAACCACTTTTGGGGCGAAACGATACGACATGCAACGTTCATCACAAATCGTACACCTACTCGAGCACTGATAGGTGCTATACCATTTGAGAAATTTTCTGGTGAAAAACCAAACCTTAAAGACTTGAAAGTATTTGGTTGTGTTGCATACAAAAGAGTAGTCTCAAAACATTTAAAGAAACTTGATGATAGGTCTCGACTGTTGGTATATTTTGGAAAGGAACCCAATTTGGGAGGATTTCAGTTGTATAATCCGCGCGGAAATAAAATCATTATAAGTGCCCATGCAAATTGTGATGAAAATAAGACATGATAATGGAATAATAAACCTGCAAATCAAGATGGAAATGGATCGGGTACATTTACGGTCTTGTGGAGTAATGATCAAGCAACCCAATACAATGGTAATTCAGGCCTAACAACAATAGAAATCGAACAGATTAAAGATCCGACCCAAACCAACCAAAACGATGACACTTCTCACGATGATAGCAACCAATCGCAACCCGTTGATGATCATAATGAAAGTTCTGTCCCACCCCGCCGATCTACTCGAACTTCAGTGTTGTCAAGGAGATTAAATGATTACAAGATAGAAGTGGATCATTTAATGTTAACATTTGATGAAGAACCGAAGAATTATAAGGAAGCCAAAATGAACAATAATTGGCTCGATGCAATGAAGACCTTACTTGAGATGCGGTTCGCAGAGATGAGAGCATTGTTTGGGGTGCAAGAATTACCCTCGACTCAGAAATTTAGGGGGGTGATTGTTGGCGAACTTCTAAGAACCGGGTGCGGCTGTAAGGCGTGTCTTGATCTAGAAGGCAATGACTTGGAATGGTATCCAAGTAACTTGGTGTGTGTGTGCCCAAGTCTTCCTATGTTTCCTTGAGCAATAAGGAAAATCATATAAGAAATGTTTTGTGATTATCTATCTAGATTCCTAGTTTAATACTAATGTGTAATGTTTAGCATAAATACCAATAGATGGGTTGCTGAAAGCACATCGATTGACGTGTTTGAGTTATATTTCTTCAATAAAAGTTCTAGCGAGTTAGGCTGCATATTTCCTGTTTCCTGTTTTTTGTTTTGCTTCAACAAGGAGGTTTATTGATGCAAAGACTTTAGTCATGGATGGATATGCTACTAGATAACTTAATTAAACCAATTTAAAGGCAATATTTTTGGTTGGAGAACTTCTTTAGACTGATTGCTTATTAAAGTCAACTTAGATCCATGAGACGTGAAAGTTGATTCTATTTTTCTTTGCTATGTATGATTCTCACATGGAGACGTGTTATCACTTATTTATTTAACGTTATATGTCATATTTTGTTTGGAGAGAAATAGGTTGTTAGTGGGATATTGTTATTCATATGGTGGACTCTACAAGAGAATGATTTTCTTGGGCAGATATAATATGTCTTACCATAATGAAGATGTTGCAATTTGAAAAACGATTTAGACGATTAGGAGTTATATGTAATATTCTTTCTGAGTTAAAAAACCGTGAAAAAGATATGCTTTTCTATAAGATTATTTCTCAATTACATTTTTGGATATTTAATAGAATGTCTAAATTAAAAGTCAATTGGATCATATGGTTATAAAACTTAACCTTGACTATCTATGTTTTGTATATATTGCTTCTTTTAATATCTCTTTACTAGTTTGGTATATCTTAACCATCTGACTATTTCCTAGTCAAACAATCAATTTATACTAATTTCCTAGTCAAACAATCAATTTATACTATTAATGAACAGATTGTAAACGATTTTGATTTTGATTTCGTGATACATAATAAACATTCAAACACTAGATCTTATATTTATATTAGTAAAACAAATCTGTTTATGATAAATTAATATTTTATTTTAAAACAAGAGAATTCTTTAGAAATGTTTATATATTCTGGACTCAGTAAAGATAAAGTCAATACTTTATTTTTTTAACACAAAAAGTAAGAAACGACAATTATTTATATACCTGAGAGTTTCCCCACAAATCTTAAAAAGAAAAATCTTTATATTATCCACTTATTAATTCCTAAAAAATGATCTAATATTATTTTATATTAATTTTACTGTATAATATCTACATGACATAGAATATCACAGTATTGTAACTTTATTATATTTTTATTGTAAAGTATTTTGTTTTACTATATAATTAAAAGCCCAACAAAAAAGTTATAAGAAACAATTATTTTCATATACATATTGAACGGTAGTTTAGAAAACAATTTTTTCATAAGAAAAATAAAAAACTACGATAAATAAATATTTTCAAAGGAAGGATATACTTTTTTTTCATTTTTCCATTTTTCATAATAAAATAATACCCTCTATCAAATAATTTGATAGATAAAATTACAAGATTACAATCTTACATAAAAAATATTGTAAAATTCCAATAAAATTATATTAAGTTCTACTATTAGTGTTATATTATTAAAAGTATATAACTTTGTTGTTATTACATATCTTTTTTTTAATTTTTTCTATTAAAAGAAAAAAAAAGCTATACCTAATATAAATATATGTTTTTTAAGATTTTCCTTAAAACAATTATACAAAGATTCTAAATGATAAGTTTGGAGCATACATACCGATACGCGTATACCCTTTCAGGTGTGGGTCCACTCTCCATGCCCTCTGGGCCCGACTCTGACAGCTTTGTCACTTAGCCATTAGCCAAGCGAAGCCGTTTAACTAAATAAAAGTAAAACCCCATCAAGTCCCCCACCGACTCGCTCCACCATTTCTTTATTTCTCTCAGATTTGCTTTCGCATTGTAATCCACTGATCCTACAAGCTACTTTGCCAGATTTTTTTGCTCGCTCCCAATCGTCTTCCTCCGTATATCAGGCGGAGATCTCCGCCATTCTGATCTAATTTTCGCAACATCCACCTCGTGATAATCAAAACAACACCCTGTTAATCGTCAGACTCTTATGCTCGGAGCTCCTTCTACGTGAGCTTAGTTTCTCAAAGATTCTGTTTGTCCCCTGATGCGATTGGTATGATTCTGGCTTTGATTTTCGATTATCGAATGTTGTTAGGTGTTTGTGAAAGCTTGTTTCGTTTGATTTCGTCGTTTGTTTTCAGGTTTTAAGTGAAATCTCGTACTCTGATTCACGTACTCTTTATTAAGGTTGCTAATGTAGCTTTACACTCTCGAACTTCTATATTATTATTATTTTTTGATTTTAAACTTTTTGTCTTGCGTAATCGGTGAAATACAATGTCAGGAGCAATGGTTGAATTTACAGGTTTGCTAATCTTGTTTAATGGTTAGATTTAGTTGATGTTCTAACTTTTAAGTTCATGATATAGTGCATTAGTAACTATGAGTCTTGCGTTCCATTTATAGGTATCATGTTTTCAGTACTCTGTTAATCATGCTGATCATGATAATGATGTGAAAGCTCTGAGTACTCGAGCCATATGATATACCAAGAACATAGTGATAGACATTAATGGATCTATGAAAATCCCTTATTTTGGTTTTTAGAAGTGAAGGTTTTTGTTTATGGATCAATAATCTCTTTCAAACAACATCAAATCTCAAGAAACAGTAAATCAAACATAGGATTTTCCTTGTTGACATGCATTTAACTATTGATTCATTCTTCCTTTATACCAATCGACTGATTTATACCCAAAATTCAGGCTGCATCATGGCAACAAAAGGGAATTCAGGAGAAAATAGGGCTAGAAGTTCCATAACCATATTCATAGTTGTTGGTTTATGTTGTTTCTTCTACCTATTGGGAGCATGGCAAAGGAGTGGATATGGAAAAGGAGACAGCATAGCTTTAGAGATGACCAAAACTGGTGCAGATTGCAGCATTCTCCCAAATCTAAACTTTGAAACACATCACAGTGGCGATTCTGTAATTGTTGATAACCCACAAACCAAAGTCAAAGAATTTAAACCATGCAGTCCTAAATATACCGATTATACCCCTTGTCATGACCAAAAGCGAGCCATGACATTCCCTAGACATGATATGATTTATAGAGAAAGACATTGTCCCCCTCAAGAACAAAAGTTGAAGTGTCTGATTCCAGCTCCAAAAGGCTATGTGACACCATTTTCATGGCCTAAAAGTCGTGATTATGTTCCTTTTGCAAATGCACCTTATAAAGCATTGACTGTTGAGAAGGCTATTCAAAATTGGATTCAGTATGAGGGCAATGTGTTTAGGTTTCCAGGTGGTGGGACCCAGTTTCCTCAAGGGGCAGATGCGTACATTGATCAACTTGCTTCTGTAATCCCAATTGATAATGGAACTGTGAGGACTGCTTTGGATACTGGTTGTGGGGTATGTAATCTTGCATTTTTATAAAATCTTTAACAAGTTTTTAACTTCTTATACCGCTTTGCTTCTTGTTTCTAACAAACAATTGTAAAAAGAATTCAAGAGTGAGTGAATTTGGACAAAATGTGTCTTCTTTTTCTTGCTGATAATAGCAATGTTCTTTTTTTTTTACCTATAATAACAACATACTTATGTTTTGCGACATATGTCTATTGACAATTCACTTTATTTTTTAAATATTGCTATTATCAGTGATAAATTGTTAGTACATTTTTATTATGTGTAAGAAATTGCAAGTATGTTGCTATTTTGTTTCAAGAAAATATTTTAAGTACATTGCTATTATGGATAAAAAATAAAGTACATATCCTATATTAGTAAAAGGAGTCAAGCACATTAATATTTCCTTCAATTTACACTTTTTTTTTGCACTTACAAGTTACAACAATGCAAGAAAGATGGTATGGTTGCAGAAAACAAAGTCTGGTTATTAAGAAAGTTGATTACTTTCTTTCTGAGTTATTAAATCTTGCTTTTTTTTTTTTGTAGGTTGCAAGCTGGGGGGCATACCTTTGGAAGAGAAATGTTGTAACAATGTCATTTGCCCCTAGAGATAATCATGAAGCACAAGTTCAGTTTGCTCTTGAAAGAGGAGTACCTGCCATTGTTGGTGTTCTTGGCTCAATCAAAATGCCATTTCCATCTAAAGCTTTTGACATGGCCCACTGCTCTAGGTGCTTGATTCCATGGGGATCAAATGGTCAGAATCATTCCTATTTTCCTCACAAACTCACCACAATTCTTGTAAAAACGCCAACAAAAACGATTTTTACTATACAAAAATGACAACAATAACATAAACAATACCCAAAATCCCATAATGAAATGGGATAATAAGGAGGATGTTAAATATATGCTTTCATTCACGAGTCTGCTTCCATAGATGACCTCTGACATATGAAACATAAAGCAGATATACAGACAATAAAGCATAAACATGTATACAAACAATAAAACATAAAGTAGGTTTACAGACAATAAAGCATAAAACAGGTTTACAGACAATAAAGCATAAAGCATGTTTACAGACAATAAAGCATAAAACAGACATACATGTAATAAAGTATAACGGAGGAATAGACAACAAGGCTGAAAAGGGGAAAAGAGGGGGGAGATATATGCAAGAATGAGTGAGATTGAATATGATTTTGAATTTTTTTTTTTTTTTGTGTAGATGGAAAATACATGATGGAAGTTGATAGAGTTTTAAGACCAGGTGGATTTTGGGTGCTTTCGGGTCCTCCAATTAATTGGAGAAATAATTACAAATCATGGCAACGTCCAAAAGAGGATCTTGAAGAAGAACAAAGGAATATTGAAGAGGTTGCTAAGCTTCTTTGTTGGGACAAAATATCTGAGAGTGGCGAAACCGTAATTTTCCAAAAAAAACTAAATCCCGAATCATGTCGTGGGTCAGAAGATACCCCTGGAGTTACATACTGCTCCCAAGATCCCGATGATGTCTGGTATGAACACATAAATTACAGAATAGCCATTGTATTTTGGACAATTTTGCAGTTTAATTTAACCACTTATAATATATTTTCAAGATTTATGTACAAAATTCCTTCCTTAGGTACAAGAAAATGGAGACATGTGTGACTCCTTCCAATTCCAACACCGGAATGGAATACAAACCGTTCCCGGAACGGCTTTATGCAACCCCACCACGAATTGCATCTGGTTCCATTCCGGTTTCTGAAGACAAATACATTGAAGACAACAAACAATGGAAGAAACATGTAAATGCTTACAAAAAAATCAATAGAATCATTGATTCCGGAAGGTACCGGAATATCATGGACATGAATGCTGGTTTTGGAGGTTTTGCTGCTGCTATCACTTCTCAAAAGTTATGGGTTATGAATGTGGTCCCCACTTTGGCCCAAAATACCCTTGGAGTTATATATGAACGTGGACTCATTGGCATCTATCATGATTGGTATCATTCTTATATTCTGTTGTTTGGATAAATGATATGAAAAGATTTTGTTTACTTGTTTATTATTATTTTTTTTGAAATCTTTAATTTTTAAAATTGTGTAGGTGTGAAGCTTTTTCTACATATCCACGAACGTATGATCTCATTCATGCGAATGGTTTATTTAGTTTATACAAGGACAAGTAAGTAAAACATTGTATACCCTTTTTTCTAGGGTTAATTGCATAAAAAGACATATCGTTTTTGACCATTTTTTGAATGAAACCTAAATTTGTTTACAATATGTAAAAAGGTTTTTTTGTAAAAAGTGCTCAAATTATTGTGTGTTTTATGCAAAAAACATTGGGAAATCTACGATAAAGTCCTAATATTTTGGGTCACTTTACAGTCTAATCCCAACATTTATTTTTTGAATAGAAAAGTCCTGATTATCTGGTTTTATATACGATAATATGTCATTTTTTGTTGAAAAAAATAAGGACTGTTTCCTTAATTTGGGCAAAATATAAAATAATCAGGATTTTTCCGTTCAAAAAATAAAATTTGGGATTAAATCGTAAACTAACCCAAAATATTAGGACTTTATCGGAAATTTCCCAAAAACATTTTAGGCTTATTTGCATAATCTCTAGACCGCTTTTTCATAAAAGACCTATTTTTTTTATTTCCAGATGGAAACCGGGTAAAAAGACAAAAACAAAAAGAGTAAATTACATGAATGGTCCCTATGGTTTGGGTTAATTTTCACGTTTGGTCCCTAACTTATTTTTTTATTCTGGAAGGTTCCTACTGTTTGTTTTTATTGCTCTCTTGGTCCCTATCTTACCTAAAAAGATTATTATACCCTTGCTTTATTAATTTATTTAAATAAACACACCCCAACACCACCTGCACCTCACCATACCTGCCTCACCTTATTTAAATAAATTAAAAAATCAAGGGCAAAATAATTTTATCAGGTAAGATAGGGACCAAGCGTGCAACAAAAACAAACAGTAGACGACCTTCTGAGTTAATAAATAAGTTATGGACCAAACGTGCAAATTACTCCAAACCATAGGGACCATTTGTGTAATTTACTCAAACAAAAAAGTTATAATGTTAGACTTTTGGTTTGCACTTTTAGCAAAAAAATCTAGGTCTTATCTGAATAATGGTCAAAATATCGCGTCTTGAATCGGTCTTATGCATATAAACCCTTCTTTTTTTCAAGAAAAAATAATTTTAAAATCTTTAATTGAATGAAATTTATGTAGATGTGATTTTGAAGACATACTTTTAGAAATGGACCGAATATTACGCCCCGAAGGTGCAGTTATAATTCGTGATGAAGTGGATGTTCTTATGAAGGCTAAAAGTATAATTGGTGGTATGAGATGGGACACAAAAGTGATGGACCATGAAGACGGGCCCTTGGTCCCCGAGAAAATTTTAGTTGCGGTCAAACGATATTGGGTGGTTGGGTCAAACTCCACATCCTCACGTTGATTGCGAAAAGTGGTAATCAATCAAAGTTTTCATCATCTTTAGTAGATTAATCTATGTTATTTAGTTGTTTAGTTATCATTAGGGGTATGAGTTATCATTTTCTTTTATTATGTTTGTTGTAATGTAAAACGATTGAAAGCTTTTTAAGTTAATGGTGAGAAATGTTTTGTTGCGAGTTCCCATCTTTTGTTTCTTTTTAATGTTTTTTGATTGTGATTGTAGTTGAAAGATCTACCATTTACATGATTGTTGTCTCATTTAAGGTTTACGGTTTAGGGTTTATAGTGTTATTGCACAAAGGTTCTAGCTCATGTCCTTGTGTTATTTTTACAGTAACCACTGAGCTCACACACATAGCCTACACGAGCATCATTGTGTCCCGTTTTAGTGATTTTTGATTGTAGGTGTAGTTAAAAGAAATATGATCTACATAATTGGTGTAAGGTTTAGGGTTTATGGTTTATGTTGTCTTTGTACAAATGTTCTAAAATTTTCTTGCACAAGGGTTATTTTTTCCGACAACCCTTAAGCCGACATACATGATACACATTGTTGGAACCCATGGCACACGCGAAGCCTATTCATATTGTGATTGATGAGAGTCCAATCTTTGACCTATCTACAAGTAAATCATCATCATCATCCCTTGTGTTATGCATTTGGGGGCTAAAGATTCGAGATCTAGAAAAGGCATAGGATCCCTTTGTGTGGATGGAGACAAAAAGGGTGAATAATTTTTGCCCTAAAAGAATGGGAATTTCAAGAAAACCACATCATTGGTGTAATTCAATGGTAGGGCTTGTATCCACATTGCACATGAATTCATGTTCCCAATAGGCTATACACAATTTTATGAGCAATTTGTTATGTGGCCACCCACCATAGATTAAAGTTGAGCTTCATTTGGCATGTATTGTGATTCTTATCATGACATGTATAATTCGGCTTACAAATCAAACTCACAAGGAAACAAAAGAAGCTGGATTTGATAACATATATATAATTATTTTAGAACATCGAAAACTGTCGGCGATACATGTTTTAAATCATCATTTAGATGTTTACTTGTAGTTGCTAATAACTTTTTTGTTTCATTGTTAGAATGTGTTCTTGTATTTTTCTTGTTTTGGGATCCTCGTTAGCTTGTTTAAGCCATAAAATCTCAACTACAATCACGAACAACTGACATTTTTGTTCATCCATTTTGTTTTTTTTTTTTTTTCTGATTTGTCTTGCAAAAACAAAAATAAAAACATTATCATGTGACTATACAACGACATTAGTCGGGAGTTGGGGTTGTCGGCCGTGACAATGAGGGATGTAGGGTTTCTAATGGAGCTGTTTGAGACTACAAACCATCAAACAAGAATGTTGAAGTTTATATGTATGGTATCATTTTGAAAGCAATAGACATGACAAGATGGACTATTTACTATTTAGCAAAGTTTTGAGTAAATTATAGAAAGTCTTTTTGGTCTTTGAAAAGTTGTAGGTTGGTTGGATGTTTCATTGTTTCATTTTAGTTGTTATTTATTTTTTTTTTGTTGCAAATTTAGTTCTTTGGACTAACAAACGTTTCCTCTCCCCGTTAACTTTCCCCATATGTTACACACACGAGGGCAGTGTTGTCTTTTCCACATTGTATCTCATCTCTATGTTTTAAGAATCTCTTTGGTCATTTGGCCTAAATTACAAAAAATTTGGTCGTACAAATCCTAATTATCCGTTTGAGCTCACACCCTTTTGGACCCTTTGATATTGTTCAACTTCATCATCATAATGTGGAGTATGCTTGAGAAATTCTTTCACGTTAGACGTGAATTGTCTTTAAGGTTTGTATTTTTTTTCTTCTATGTTTTTTCACACGGTTGAATGTACATCTCTTGTTTATTTGTATTTTTTTTTACATGAGGTTATGTAATATTTTTATTTTAAAGATTCATCATGTTGGGATGTTTACTACTTTCATAGGAATAAGGTACATCAAGGGTCATGTCATGTAAACTATTTTGATGTCATTGATAATGAAAACTTTTTAGTGTTTGGCTGTCATAACCATTATGAATATGTGTTTGCATTTATAGTAATTGATATAATTGCTACCAACGAGTGACGAGGGTATGAGAAGAACAAACATAGAATGAAGTCAACCAGGTTATGACTAAATGTTGGGTAACTATAGTGCATGTGTATGGATAATCTTATTAAGATTGAAGATAGAGAAGATAAATGATAAAAATGGAAGAAAAAAATTACTGATTTCAAGAGAAAAAAAATGAGAGAAATTTGTGAAATGACCCACATACCTTCATGTGTAACGCATGTTGGACACTTAACTGATGTTATTTTAATAGTGTTAGCCTAAAGAACCAAAATGGAAAATATGCAATAAAAGAACGAAATAAGGACCACGAGAGCAATAGCGAAACATCTGGACAAAACATGAAACATGCAACTTTGTAAAAGACTATGGGGACCATTTTTCTAGCTTACACTAAAGTTTTAGAGGGAATTCATTTGTATCAATTGCTTTCAACAACTGTTTTCTAATAAATTTGTCATTTTCAATAACTGTTTTCTAATAATTTTGTCATAATCCAAAAAAATGAAAAATAAAATCTATGATAATCAAATAGAAAGAGATTATAAGAATTGTCTATGTGGTAACTCTTTTTTTAGCCATAAATGGTTAGCTCATTTTAAAAGACTTATCAAAATGTTTTTTTTTTTTTGTTCGAGAACTTTATTTCCATGGTAACAAATATATAATACACAGTTAAATAAACTATCACTACGACACTAATTTAATTTTTTAATCCAACTATTTAGAGGTTATAGGTACATGGCACATTTATCAATATCTATAATTCTATATATGTCTGCTTATTTTTTAGATATATTTTTATTTTTATTTATTTAATCCTTTTAAATAAGTGTATTCCAAACGTGTTTTCGTTTTATAAAAAAGTCTGTCATATCCCAATATATGTGTATACTCGAACCATTGTAAAAGGGAGCAAATGTATTTATTGAAATTGCATGTTCTGAAAGATTTGTACCCATTTATTAATAGGATTGTACCTTATGTACATGATGAGAATTGTGTAACATATAAAGACACCTAAAGGTAACTTCTTAAAATAATAAATTCATGCTTAGTAAAGTTTACAAGATAATGAATAGGGATTTAAACCAAAAACATTTGGTAAAACTAAATTAGGAATTACAAATTGGGAGTCATGTTGTATTTTAGCTAATATAAATATACGACATGACACATCAATCTTTATATAACACAAACATGACACGATACAATGTCGTGTTCTGGTTTATTAATACGAAAACAACCTAATTAAAACACGATAAAAACGACCAACACGAAAAAAAAACCTTTATTTTATTTTATTCAAATTAATCTTTCAATAAACAAAAAACACGACAAACACATGTTAATATTGTGTAAATTTTGTGTCAAATCCTATATACGAACATGACACGATAAGACATTGTGTTTTTTACACTTGACATGAGCTCAAATTTAAATTTTATTTTCCTCTTAATTATGTTTCATATCGTCTCATAGATTGTCACCTCCTTTATATAAAAATTCATAGAACGAGAAATGGTATCTAAAGTTTCATAATATGTTGAAATGATATTATACTCGAGTGTTATAAGCATGATTAGTATAATGTAAATATAATGTCATAAATACTCGAGTGTTTTGTTAAATTTTACTCTTAAACTAACATTTCCCTTGATCTAAAGTTGTTTTTTTTTTTTTTTTTTGTGTGTGTGTGGTGGTGGTGGTGGTGGGTGGGGGGGGGGGGGGGGTAAAGTGTAGTAAAATGAAGCTTGGTATTGTACATGGGCCTAGGAGTCATTGTGTGATACGTTAAGGGCCAAATAATGAACTTGTGGGGTATTTAAGCGAACCTAACCTTAGGATATGGGTTTGCAACCAACAAGTCTTCTTGAGAGAGTTCCAAAGTGAGATTATGAAGTGTGAAGTGTGGGAGTGATCCAATAGAAGAGGGAGTGGATTCCTAAAGCATAATTGGTAGTATTGGTGTTATTTTCCTCTCATTGTGCTCTCTATTGTATTGCTCACGATTTCCAGAGGTTAGCACCCCTAATCTCTAACCTCTTTCCATGTTTTGATGTTCTAGGAATGGGTAAATCATGTTTGTGATGAGTTTATACACCAAAATAGAATGTTATATATTGTTTTGGTATAAGTATGTACTGAACTTGGTCTTAATCATTTCAGACCATTAGAGACTTTTCCTAATGATTGAAAATCACCCTAAAAAGGGTTGGATTGGGCCTGGAGCGGTCTAGATCAGAAATCTTGATGTTTTGTAACTGACAAAAAAGCGCCACACGTTACATCTATACACATACACACATACAATGCATTGAAGGGTTTTATATTTTGAACGTATTCACGAAATTTGAACAACATGACATGCCTTTTCTAGAAAGCAACACATTTCCCCTGAAGCACGACATGTGATCAGGCTGTTTGTAACTACTTTCTATTTTAAGGCTCGTTTCTGATCGGGATTTCGTGCGTTTGTTCACATTTATTAGGATTAAATGTGAGTCAATTCTTTTACAACTTTAGTATAATATCAAGAACTTATAAAGCTTGACAACGAGCTGAATGATCCAAATTAGTCTATCTTGTGTGTGAATTGACATGCTACTGTTATGTGCTGAAAGACATGTTATCTTATTGTGGTATGTGTTAGTAGGATGTAAAGTATGCTAGATGATATTTATAGTTAATTGGTATGAATTGCGGTGGAATATTCATGCTAGTTATAATCTATGGATCATTGTGTTGTGTGAATTAAGTTGCATGTTATTTTCTATAATGTTAGATTATCTATGGTGTTAGGAAAATTGCATGCTAGTGGTGTATTATGTGTTGATTAAATAATGAAAATTATGCATGATAACATGGAAGTGTAAAAATGACCTGTTGTATATGATTAAATATGAATAACTAGAATGTGGGGAATATCCATAGAGGGGAAAAGGGAGTAACCTTAATTAGGTGTATACCCTAGTGGGATGATATATGTGTTGAAAGATACATTAAGTAAAATAGCTTAAGCCATGGCGAAGTCGAGTAGTTTCCTAGATAACCATTTCGAAACATGGTCCTAGCAGTGTTTGGCCTGGAGTTATGTTGGCTCATATGGTTATAGCCAGCGCAAACATCACGTGAGTTATGGGAGTTGTATGCGATTGAAACACAGTTTGTACCAGTCCTTAATGATACCATGAAATACTTGTATTTTTGTAAGGTCGGAGTAGCGAATGCAGTTTTTCGGTTGGCTATGTCACAAGTGAGAGTCGTGCCTCAGGTGCATTAGTCTTTCCGGTCAGGCTAGTAGTGATTCGGGTTATCCTTTTGGGTCTAGCGGTGTAGAAACTCAAATTAGCGATGTAGGGACTTGTATGCATTGAAAATCAATAATAGTAGTTACAGTGAAGAGTGAGGGTGTGTAGTTATAGCGATGAAATATTATTAATATTAATTATGCTATGAAAATTAATAATAATAATTACAATGAAGAGTGAGGGTATGTAATTATAACAATGAACTATTATTAATAGTAATTAAAACGAGGAATGATTGTGCATTGTGTTATGTACTTTGTGAGGTTGAAAACTTGTCGTGTGAATGACAATTTGAATGATTAACCTATTAGGGGATTATATGTTTTCACTTTGAAGCTGTACAACTGGTTGGTTCACTAAGCAGCTGTTGACATTTGTTTATTTGTGTTGTTTGTTATGTTTGTCTTGTATTGGTACACACTACTTAGATATGTGGCTTGATGAGGTTGGGATCTTATTGGATAGTTTTTTATTTTTACTTAGTTAATGTCACTTGGACTTGTTATGTTTGTCATGTTTGTGTTATATAGTTTATTTATTTATTTATTTATTTATTTATTTTTAATTTTTTAATTTTTTTAATTTTTTTATTTATAATTTTTTTATTTTTTAATATCACTTGGACTTGTTATGGTGGTCATTATCAGTATTTTGGTTTATCAAACCTAAAGAGTTTTGTTTTAGGTTATTTTTGCAATTAAACTAACATTGGTGGTTGTTTTTGAATTATTGTTTAAAAGACTTCCGTTACAATTTTCTATTAAGAACAACATGGTAATATTCTTAAGGCCGATGTGTATTTTGATCAGGAGGCATCTGGTTCTTTTTCTAAACCATCAGGTTTTGGTGGTCAACGTTTTACATTGGATGACTCTAGATATCTAAACTCTCGGTTTTTTTCTAAAAAAAAAAAAATAACAAAACACGCTGTGCTTCTTTTTCTCAATCTTCAAGTTTTAGAAGTGAAAAAAATTCCCAGTTTTCTAATTTCACTTTATTAAAGAGAGATGATGCATCTTTAATTGATGGAGTTTAAAAGTCTTTACTCATCGCGGAGGTTTTGGGGCACAATATGATTGGTACAAAAGAGGAATTGCAAAAGATGTTGGTAAGTATGATTATGAAGAATGTGGATCCATAAATATGTCGGATTATGTGTCTAATACATTAACTATAATTGGTATAAACTTGAATTGATGGTAGGACGGTTCTTTTGGGTTGCCCTCAAACTTAACAATTGAATAAGATAACTTTTAGTGAGAGAGATTGATTTATTAATTTATTATATGATTAATAAATTAATTAGAAATCAAAAGAAATAATTTGTTAATATATTATGAGAATAATATATTAATTGGAGACAATATTATTTAATTAATAATTAATCAGCAATTAATTGGATTAATTAAAAGTGCATGACATGTTTGGTTATTTATTGAAAGTTGAGGAAATGAACCCATGTACCTCATTGGATGAAGTGGATGAAAATGACATGGGCAAGCCCAAGGAATTTCTTCCAAGCCCTTCCATAAGGAAGGGAATGGGCTACTTGGTCACCAAGTAAAGTGATTAGGGTTTCCTCCTTAAACCCTAGCTTTGACACCAAACTACCTCAGCTATATAAAGGGCCATAACCCCTCATAATTTCATTAATCCTTCTCCTAAGAAGAACTGGACAAAATTTCCATCTCTTCTCCTCTCTCTCTCTCTTTATCTCTTTCTTTCTTTCTCTTTCTCTCTTTCTCTCTCTCTCTCTCTCTCTCTCTCTCTCTCACTCCCTCACTCTCTTCAAGTTCCTTGGTTGCTAGGGTTTGGGTGTGAACCATTAGAGGCACAACACTTGTGGTGCTTGCTGCCAAAAGTTTTGAAGAAGGAATTCAATATTGTTTGCTATAACAATCTTCAAGGTAAGTCTCTTTCTCTTATGAATTAGTTTTCATAGGAAAGTTTTTGTAGGATGACAATTCATAGTATGTTGCATATATGTGAAAGACATAGCTCCTATTAGGTTGCATGTGCCCTAATCATTTAAATTTTTGAATGTTTTTCTGCTTTGAGAATTGTAGTTGTAACCCTAATAACCCATCAATGGTATCAAAGCCTATGACTATCTTTCATGTATTTGCACATTGGTGAATCGATCAAAGAAAGAAAGAAACTTGTTTTTGGATTTGTCGCAGCTCACATCGTGAGCCCAGGCCAGATTCGAGATTTTGTGCCTTATCTGCCTAATCAACTTATAATTACTTGCTATTCTTATCCTCCAAACTAATTTTGGTGTATCTATGATAATAAAATAAAAGTCTACAAGTTAGGAGATAAGTATTTGACTTGATTAATTGTTTTGTTGATTAATAATATTGATCTTTTAAGTGTATAAATAATACATCTGGATATTAATTAAACTTAATAATTAATGTCAAATGTTATTTGGTTTATTCACCACTAGAAAAACAACCTTTTACGACGCGCAATGCGTGTCGTAAAACGCTCATACGACGCACACATGCGCGTCAAGGAGGGCCCTGTCATAACGAGAGACGACACACTTTTGCGCGTCGTCTACAGACGACGCGCATTTACGACGCACATTTATGACACGCAATGTGTATCATTAAAACGCCTGTCAAGAAAGGCCATGTCATAAATGAAGATGACATAGATTTTTGCGTATCGTAAATTTAAATGTTTAAAAAAAATATGTTTATATATTTATATATTAATTAATTTTTAAATTAAATTTGCATTTAATGTCTCATAATAGAAATAAAATACCATATAAAAAAATACAATCTATTGCATAAAATTTAATGTCATACAATTTTATTTCTTACAATATATAAATTTGCATTCATCCAATATACTCTGTGTTTCATACAAAAAATCTATTTCATGCGGCTTCTTCCATTTTCTTTATTAGCAGCTTCCATCATTAGTAGTACAACTAACAACTGAAATGAAGAATGCAACACTTGCATTTGCAGCATCTTATCTCTTTCAGCTTGAGCTTTCTTTTCCTCTTCTAACCAAAAAAATAGCCCTAGATTTTGCAATTTATCGTGCCTGAATAAGAAAAAGGTTGAATGCCGTAATAAAAGAAAGTGTATGATGTTGTAATCGAAAGAGATGAAAGTAAACAAATAAATGAAAGTGTGTTGCATTCAGATGTTAGAATATTAACCACGGTAATCATTGCAGATATGTGCCTTAAATATTACAACCTAAATCAACACACCTGCACTTTCACTGTCATTACAATTTTAAATGTTTTGTGCATAGCATACATGGTGACTAGTTTTAGCAAATTAATTTTGTGTCCATGGTATCAAAACCTCAATTTTAGAATCAAGTATTTGGAGATTGTATTTTTCACTATGGTAGTGTATGATGGATTGATTATATAAATATATTGCAATGTATGAAACTTTGTGAACACCACATGGTGTGACATTGAGTGGTTTCATCTCATGTTTTATAAAGTTCAAACACAACTTACATCTTGCTTTGGCTGTCTTGGAAAGTCTTTGGTGTTCTTGTTGTTGTCGTTTAGAAAAAAATTAGTTGTTTGTCCAGAAAAATCCCAAATGTATAACTGCACAAAAAGTTCCAAATTTCTCTTATTGTAGCTGTGTTATTAATTTTAATGGTAACATGTTATCATTAAATTAGCTGCCAAAAATCAGGTTATTCAATTCTATGAAATAGTAACTAGATAATATGGCATCCTCTATCTTAGGTGACATGTGGGTCGTTGGAGTTACCTGTAACGACTATGACGAACTCTATCTTTCTCTGCCTCCCAAAGTTCACCAGATAATACATCCTGTTTTCAAATGAAAATATCTAAAACATTTATATAAATTTCTTGCCATTTTAAAAAAAAAAATGTAATCTCTCACCTTTGACTATGCTTCTGATGACTCTTGACTAGACCTTTTTACACAAAGTCCAGGAGGTGCTCCTCCTCTTAATGCAACAACCTTAAAAAAAACATTGTTTAAAACAAAGTATTTTCCCTACTTTATCTATCGACTTAGTCACAAAACAGAACCGTTGGTTTTTATTTTGATTTAACCACCCAACTATTGTTTTTTATCCTTAAAACAATCAGAAATAGTTTGGTGGCTACATCAATAAAATGATGTTAATCTGTATTTTACCATTTATTCAAAAATGGGTAAAAAAAATAAAGACGATAATGTTTTTAATCAGTACAAAAAATGATTAAGTGGCTAAAATAAATGGATAAACAAACCTTCCCAAAACATATGGGATAAACTTGACTGATGTAAGGCCATATAAGTAATTTCCAAGAGAAAACGGGAGCAAAGGGCTCAAACGAAAAAGTGTCACAACTTTAAAACCATTTTCTCCAATTGCTTTATCAATTGCAAGGAATTTTTTATTTCCTTTAACCATTTTCTCCAAGTTCTACAAACTCCTGCTGAACAAAATATCTTACCCAAGCAGATGATACATGGAGCAAGTAATTGACATGTTCTTATTCAAAGACTCCACTTAAAATATGTAGTGATCAATAATGTCTCCACATAGTTATTAAACATACTTTCAGCTAATAGTACGTGTGTATGTGTTTTACCAAAGGTTAATAGAAATTTCTAAGCAAGAACACATTATAAACTCAACTTCAAGTACATAATGTTACAAATCCACGAAACTGTTTCTGGTGATCCTTTCGATTTAAGCTCTATTTTTGTATGGATTAATAATTATAAGAAAAGGTTCAACTTACGGTAATGTGACAGCTAATGGAAGTCCTTCTGGAACCGTAACAACAACAATAGTGACCTAAAGATTCACCAAATTAGAAGAAGGTTAAAAAAGGAAACTTAATAAAAAATACATGAAGTAAATACTAATTGCTAAATACATAATGCAATAGTAATATTTTGATTGCTCCATCAACAACATCCCCAAGACTAGTTTTCCCAGCAACAAACTCCACTTGATCCTTATCGTCCTTTGTCTGTCCAGTAAAAAATCTAACAAACAAAATTTACCATTTTAAAAGCAAGAATGAGAGGTGAAATGATGATTATACCCATGCAAATTTGAATTAATTACCTTATGAGAAGGATGACAAGAAGAGATACAACCACCACAAGCCCTACTATACCAATAAATGTAGTCACTCCATTCAAACGCACCTACAAAAAAGTTTTATATATATATATATATATATATATATATATATATATATATATAATGTAAATACTAAATATTAAAATAGAAATGACAAATACATTACCTGGTCCCCGATTTTAAGAGTTATGCCATCACCCACAAAGGTATCAATTATTGAAATCTCCACCCTCCTTCCACCTCTTATAACCTAGCAATATAATGTTTATTTGTCAACAAAAGTCAAATATGTTTAAATAAATAAAAGTTGTTTAAAAGATAATATCCAGTTATCCACCTCCAACTGTATATTATGTTTCTCTTCATTTAAGTTCTGAAACTGAAGTGATTGTTTATAATCACTTATGGATACAAAATAGGAAAAAACAATAATGTGTTATATATTTCCTAATACAACATTTAAACATAAGTTTTTGTATGTAATAAAATCATTGTTTATTTAATGAAGTACCTGTAACGATTATGAAAATTATAACAGCTAAAGCTATGCTTCCACAATCATACCATCCTTCTTTATTCCCCTGAAAGAGATGATACCAATGAGAAAACAGAAAGATATATTTTATAACATAAAAGAAACTATTTATATTACAAAATATATAAATATGATTCACTAACCTCTATTTCAATACCAAGTGCTAAAGAAGCAGCAGCAACTACCATTAAAATGATCAATGTTGTATCACGACAAGCATCAAACAGAAACCTCTATCAAATGCATATCACGAAAAGATTTAGGTTAAAACATGTTCAGACAATGAATGTCATCAATTTTGGTTTAAAGAGAAGTAAGAACATATAATTACCCAAAAACTCCGCCCCTTATTCCTTGGGTATGTGTTTGACCCAAACACATTTTTCTGTCCAATATGTTTGCCTCGTCATCATTAATTCCCTTATCAGGATTCGTCTTCAAATGTGATACTTTTTTCTTAATTGAGAAGAAGATGCAAGAAAAAAAATAATTTTGATTTGCAAATGCAGGAAAATATCAAAAGTTTGAGAAGTAGATGTAGGAAAAATGGGAGGCATAAAGGAGAAATCAATAATACCATGTGAAATCGCAGCAGAGATGATGCAGATGCACGAAAAAAAATCAGAATCCTTTTTGCTTGATTGAGAAGATGAAGTTGAGGTATGAATGAGAAGTCGTGTTCCCCTTATTTGCTGAACGGATAAAGAAATATGACCAAGGCTAGAAACACAACTGGAATAGGGTTTGTAAACGTGAGGAGTCGTTGTAGATGGAGTAGGGTAAAGGTGAAGAGGAGTTCAGTTACCAAATTTATGTTGAGATTATTGTGTCTAATCGTCGCCATAAAGATACAATCGAGAGAGAATGATCTTCGATTTCTGGAAGGAAGCGAGTATGTTACAGAGAGGGGGGGGGGGAGAATGAAGGTTGATCCATCGGGTGGAGATCTAAGGAGAGAGTGAGCAGGGTACTTCAAAATTTTAGGGGATTTCCCCCCTTTAGATATTAATGAAGGATCAGACTCGCGTTCTTACAGCACAAAGCGAAGCTAACATAAAACCATGTTTCTGGTGGTGGCGGATGGTAGGTTTTACAGAGAGAAGGAGGGAAGAAAATAAAGGTCATCGGTAGGTGGAGAGGAAAGAATGAGCGGGTCTTCCAAAATTTTGGGGATTTTGTTTCCTACGTGTTTGCTAAGTCGAAGAGGTGGGGGTTAATTTTTGTCAATATCATTTCCAGCCTAAAAGGCGTGTTTCATTAAAAAATTATAAAGCGACACCTACACGACGACATTTTATGAAAGGCGCCCTCCACATTTTTTTTCTTTTCTGACACTAATTTTAGGGCACGTATAAATGCGTGTCTTCTATCCTTAAAGTTTTGGAAAACCGAGATTAATTTTTAGGGCACCCATAAATGCGTGTCCTCTATCAGTGTGTGTCATTGTTTGCGCGTCATTAAAGGCGTGTTTCTAGTAGTGATTTTATAAACTTGGTATTTTGAAAATTAAGATACATCCTTATGGATCTTATTAGTAATTTAATTAAGTAATTAATTAAAAGATAATTAGTAAATCCATAAAATGGTTTAAATTTAATTAAATTAAAAGTTTAATTTATTAAAAGATTAAACTCTTTCAATTTTAAAATGTTTTAAAATACACCTTATACAATGTATATAATTAAAAGTTTAATATATATTATATGTATAAGAAAAGTCAGTCAAAATGCTAGTACCCCTCATTCACGAAGTCATACTTTATGGGGAGTTTAAGGAAGCGGCCTATAAAATGATCGTCATTGGGTATACACACTTACCCACCGCTCTCTTGTATGGTGGAGGGTCGTTAGCCGAACGGATTTGATAGGACATAATCTCATTAATAAGTATAATGAATTAAAAAGTAACCAAGGATTTTATTAAAATATTAATCTTAGTTACTTTAGGAAAGTGTTAATTTGTATGCTAATCCATGAAATTGCACATTACACTTTATAAGTTGTTAGTGGAGCGTGTGTGGTTAAACGACACACTAATGGGGGACTAATAAAGAGTGGTAGTGGGTGTCTCGAAAATTATCGTTGATTAATGGAGCGCGTGTGGCTAACCGGCACATTAAAACGAGATGATAAATGACATCGAGAGTGTCAAGCTAATTTGCATGGTTATTCACATGTCGTTTGTGATCCTCGACATCCCATTCACAAAAGTGAGAGCATAATTTGAGCTTAAACATGCCATTGATTAGATTCAATGAATCTCAAATGATCTAGACGTATCATTAGATTGAAATTGGTAAAAGCCTTACCTACCTAAAAAGATTCAAAGTTGATTACGACATCCATCTTCAAAGTTCGAATAAAAATATGGATCCTAGACTTAATTTAAAATTTATGGGTTAATAATTAAGGATTAAAATCAACTAACTTGAATTCTCTTTTCTCCTATTATAGATGTCAAGTCAAGACATTAATGGTCTTCCTTATTCTTTTGGAAATAGTTTTCCTCTTTCTTTTGAAGATGATCTTCCACATTCTGATCAAGGTGAAAGTATGTTCCCTTCTTCGAGCAATGGTGGAACTGGATATCATGCTTCTTCAAATCTTCTTCCTCCTCCTACAATGACCCTCCCCACGTCATATTTCCCTTGAGTTGAAAGATACGAAACTACTCAAGCCCTATTGGCATGTAAACATTGAGATGGAAATTTTGTGTGTGCGCATGTTCTGGAAATAAAATCATACATTGATAAATTAGATAGATTGGGTGTCGCCTTCCCAAGGGAGCAAGCCGTTCATTTGGTTCTACTTTCGCTTCCCAAGTCATATAGTCAATCCGTTGATATCTTTTATATGAGCGACATCAACGTGACCCAAATTGACCTAACCCAAATGTTGATTGATGCTGAGGCAGAAATGCGTAAGGGAACAAGTGAAGCAAAGACACTTGAAGAGTCTGATTCCAAAGCTTCCACATACATTGACAATGGTGGTTAAAAAATATTTCTCTTCCCAATGGAAAGCGATCAGCCAAGGTTAAACTGTTTGATCGTATGGTAAAGAGAAAGGCTAGTTCTGAGATAGTTACATGTGATAACCCTAAAAGTTCCATATGTTTCTATTTCCAATTGAAGGGACATTGGTTGCGAAGCAACCTTGACTACCGGAAAGATCTCAAAGATGGTAAAGTCAAGTCTTGTGACTCTACTTTAGGTACATTCATTATCTAACTCCATTATCTTAACATGTTCCTATTCATAGACTCATAATACATGATGTGATGATCACATTTTGATGTTTTGTAGGATCTATGAGAAAGAAGGAAGCTTAAGAAGAATAAACTGAATTTGATCGTGAGACGTGGATTTCGGTTGCATGGTTCGATGATCATATTTTGGAAGCTACTACTTAAGAGCTATGATAATTTAATAGTTTGCTTAGGAAATGTGTAAAAATATAGTTTTCAATTTATGCATTGTATGGGCAAGTTCCAAAATTATCATTTATTATCAATAAAAGTGAAATTTTGGTTTAACTAGTTGGTTTACTTTATATTTCCTTACAATGGAGTTTATGGAAGTGTTAGTTACATTTATATTATTAGCAATGTTAATTGTGGATTTGATTATTGTTATATCGCTTGTGGTAATGTCATAGTTAACTAAGTGATAAAGAATTCTCATCACCCAAGTTTCAGTTAGATAGAAACTTGAAGTCATGTAATTTGAATTATGTGATGCATGAGAATCTGGATCATTGGAAGATTATGACTAATTCATTGATCACATGTTTATGTGACTAATGGATCTAGTACATGTTGATATGGACTATTCAGATCCACCATAAAAGACAATAAGTCTATTCATCATGGTTTACTGATGTTTCAGTAAATATTGTTATGTTTATAAGGTTAAACATAATTCTGGTACTTTGAAAAGATTCAAAGAGTAGCAGAACAAATAAGAAGAATATATTAGGCAAAAGAGATAAATGTTTCTCCAATCTGAAAGGAAAGGAGAGTACTTTAGTATCATGTTTTATGATCATCTTAATGATTGTGGGACTATCTCACAATTGATCCTCGAAGAACATCTTAGTGTAATTGTTTGACTAAGAAGAGGAATCAGATATTGTTGAAATGGTTCAATCAAGAGATAAGTCATACTTTGTTTTCTAATCAAGTTTTAGAGCCATGCTCTAGTTACTACACATCGTATCTTGAAACTTATTTTATACTCAGTAGGGTAATAACACCTCATGAAATGTGGAGTAATAAAATTTTCTTACTCTAGCACATTTGGAATTGTAAGTTGTGATGTTTTGGTTAAAACAAAGGATAAACTAAGACAAATTCCATGAAGTGTTTCTTGTCGAGAATCCACACTAACTTTTTAATATTCGTTTTAGCTCGTCAAGAAATGTTCCTTGAGAGAAAAACTTATATGTCTAGAAGTCAGTAGGAGTCTTATTGAACTCGAGAGTTTCAGTATTCAATCAAGAATAAACCTTTTGTTTATCACTAGCACTCGATTTCAAGTTGATAGCCTATCATGTTAAGTTGACATATTCTTGTTTTTGTGAACCTTCTAGTTGAGTTAGCAATACTTATGAGTCCTATGGTTCTCATTTAACTGCAAAAGGTAGAGCACATGGGTCACTGAAACTACATTGATCAATATGGGTGAGTTGCTTAACAACATGGAAGCACCGGTAGGACCTTGTGCTACCAGAGGGCAAGAAGTTAAGAATAAGCGAAGTTCAGTCCATGAAAGGAAAGATAAATTTGAATTTGGTTTTGTCCTAAACCTTATCTTATGATTGTAGGTTGGAAATGATAGATTCACAAGGATGGGAATGAATACACCATAAAATCTAGGTGGCAAAATGTAACGCCGCAGATCCGGGCTAGTCAATTTAAAGACATTGAGTATCAAAAATGAGTTGTTTTATGGAAGATTATTTTGAAGGAATAGTCTTAAATTTTTTTAGCATATGTTACAAGGATTCCGTACATATAAAGAACGCTGAAATCCGGGTTATAACGAAGAAGTTATGGTCCGTCGAAGTTTTACGACAAAACCGGCACGACACGGTGCGATGTAAATAGTGAATTTACGATAGAAGACTTTTTGGCCTTAGTGATCTTAAAAAAAAAAAGTCATAGTATAAATTAAACCGAGAGCGTGCAT